GCGATGAGGTTGCTGTTTTTCAGTAACAAGGACATTTGGTAACATATCAAAAGAGCCGGACGCTGCTGACAAACTCTGACATGTATCCTCATCGAGGAAACAATGACTGTACCCAGACTCTTTCAAACACATGAACAGTTGTGTTCATTTAACCCAATGAAAGTCAAGATGTTGTTGTTCCATCGTGGATTTTACTCCTAATTGATTCTTGTGTCTAGAAAACAAATACCTAACAGTCATTTCTAATCAAGACGAAAACCACTGGGCCTCTCAATTTAAACGTATGAGTAAGTGATTGTTTGTGTGTAGGCCACTTGTATGAGAGCGTAACTGTGCAACGGCATGTGTGTAACACACCAGAATGCACATTTCAAAGGCAAGACAGCTCCTGGGCTTGCTGAACTTTTGCTTGTTATCAGGAGCTGAGAGTGAAATGGAGAGAATTGATCTTTTGTCTACTGGAGGTGCACTCCCTTGGGCTGCGCCGCTCGCTTGCTCACTCGCTTGGCTGCCATGCAGAGGGCTCTCTTTCTCATCCTCCCCGCAGCACCATCCCCTATTCTCCACCACCCCCTCCGCTCGTTCACTCACTCACTCTCTCTCTCTCCCTCTCTCTCTCTCTCCCCATCTCTGCATGGCGGCTGCCTCTCCTCCAGCTGACACTTGTCCTGCCGTTACTGGGAGAGATGTGTGCTGAGCTGCTGACACCAGGATTGATCTTCCTCCTTTTCCCCATAAGCTCCATATCAAGCTCCTGGAGACTCTGGAGGAGACAAAGAATGGGTGGAGGGATGAGGGGGGAGAGGGGGGGATCGGGGAGGCGGCCGGAGTGCGAAGGGAGAGGGGGGAGAATATTGTCAACTCACATCACCTCTTCAAACTAACAACGTTTGGTGCAGCAAAGAAACCGAGAACAGAAAGTTGACAGTTTTATTGGTGTTGGTTGAAGGAAGTTCACTGTTTTTGCTGAATTATTGCTCACAGTGACACCACAACACAAAAAGCAAGATTTCCTCATGCCACCAACAGCAGTTACATTTCATCAATAAGTTGCAGATGCTCTATTATTGGATAGAGCGAAAATTAACAGGGATCTGTAACTAATCTGCTTGATGAGACGCCACATTTTCAGAAGTGATGTGTACAGTGATGCAACTTTCAGGGTTGTTTTGTTACTTTAATTTAACTTCTATTGTATTAATTTCTACTCATGGTAAATGTTTATCATCTTAATAAAATCTTTTAATTAGGCAGAAAAAAAAATCTTTAACTAAACTGTAACTTGTTAAGTCTTTAGCATAATAGACATAATAACCTTTGAAGCTTGATAGCAATTTAATAGTCACCAGTCTTTACTGCTGGAAGGTCATACACAGATCATGTGCATCAGACTCAGGTTTTATTGCCAAGCAGGTTTACACATTACAGGAATTTGCTGTGGTGTATTTGTGTATAAATATAAAGGTATGAAAAATATTAAAATAGAAAACAAAATGTAATATAAAAAATACTATAAGCACCAAGGGAGGGTGAGGTAGAGAATGGGTTGTGCCATTGTGTTCAATCAAACTACACTAACTTGCACACTCACGGATATCAGTTCTCTAAATGGCCTGATTTTTCCATCAAGATTCATAAATTATTCTCTGGGAAAACTGGGAAAACGTTGAAAAACGCCCCGTCTTGCAATGTTAAAAACGTAAAACAAATCCTGGATTCGCCCCCCCCCGCTCCGGTTCAGCTCTGGGTTCATCCCCAACCTATACCACATCATACCACTTAGTTTTGTGGAAATCTGTTCCGTTTTCCCGCGTAATCTGTCTTTAAAACACGCAGACATACAATCAACAAATTAATTGACAGGGGTGAAAAAACAAAACCTTGTTGACTGAGGTAACAAAACAGACTACAAGAAATGTAGGTCTCATATTTAGACCCTAACCTAATTCTAACCCTAACATGTGCAGTCACAAAATAACAGGATGAAGCATCAGAACACTTTCATCTGGAGCGGTGTGCAGTCAGAAGTAAAAGATGTGCTCTGGGTGGCTCTCGAGGACGTCTATTGTGATCGTATGAGTGCAGGCATCTGAGTGAATTTGACTGGGGATCTTTACAGTTATTACTGTGTGTTATTGGCATCGTGAGGGGAGCAGACCTGGGAGGAAGGGTTAAGGGTGGAGGGGGCAGATCGGGGGGGGGGGGGGGGGGCAAACGTGATAATTTGTCGGTTAGCCAATTTCAAGAGGCCGGATGGCCCGATACCCTTGGTAAGCATCCAAGAGCCGAGCGGAGCAGGGAAGAGCTGTGCAGGAGGAAGATGAATCAAGTTTAATAACAAAGGCTTCTAATTGCCCCCCACAACCCTGCAACCCCCCCACCCACCCCGTAGCTGAACTCTAATTACAGTCAGAACACAGAGCACTGTCGCCCAATATTAAGTTGTTGAAAAGCAGCCCAAGATGATCGATAAATACTTTCGCTGTGGAGCGGAGGGGGGGAGGCGCAGAAGAGAGAGAAAGAAAGGAGAGAATGAAAAAAGTGAGATGCCCCTTCCATTCAGTGGGAACCGGCAGCACCCAAAGCCCTCCTGGCTCATGAGAGCGCCGCTGGGACTGTCCAAGAATGATTGCAGAGCAATAATCCAGAGCGCACCTCCCCAACACCCCCGTACAAACACACACTCACTCAGATGCACAAACACACACACATTCATGTGAGCCCCACCTTCCCCATAGGCTGCCTGAGCACCCGTGCGTCTGAGAGGAAAGGTGAACACGGTCACCCTAATTACAGGGGCCCCAGCTCTCTCACACACCAACACACACTCACCAGGCATAACTAAAGACAGGCCAATTAGGGCGAGAGGGAGATAAGGGAAGTTTTATTTGTATACTAATTAAGCCCCTGATGAAATTCAAAAGGGAGGTGGTGAAGGGGATTGGGGGAGGGAGCGGACGGGTAATTGTGTGTTTGAGAAAAGGTTGCTGTAGGTACGTTTATCTGAGAAGCACAGCCTTGAGATAGTTGCCCCCTAATCCCGTGCTGAGCCCCGGCACAGCACTGCAAGGTCTCTCATAATTTGATCTGTTACATAGGAAATGGCAGACTCTGAAAGCAAGATCATCAGCAGCGTTTACTGACATTTCAGCTAAATACAAAAAGTTATTACGCTGAAGAGAATACCATTCCTATTGTTCTAGTTTAATACAGAAAATGATGAAAATGAGTTGTTTGATGAATGTAGCTTTAAGAATAATTAGCTGTTTGCTTCCAGATAAGCTATACTTGAATCTGACAACGGAAATTTAAGTGGCTAAAAAGTTTCTTATCCTGAATAATCACTTGTCACAGCAGTAAGAGCACTGGACAAGTGTCCAAATAAAATATAATAAGTATTATTATCTGCTTTGAAATGTCAAAAGATTCCAAAATTAAGGACGTATTCAGTTGTGGGATAGAGCTGAAAAGAGTAGTTGATTACTCAACCAGTCAATCACCATAAAAACATCTGCTATTTACTATTTTGGTAACTGATTTTTCACGTTCTAGCTTCATGGTATCATTTGCTGTCTGTCTTTGTCATGTACAAAAATGAAGCTGAATATCGAAATTGAGTTTTTGACTTGAAGTTGGACAAAATGAGGTAATCTTGGATTCAAGATCTTATGGGTTTTTAATTCAAACAGTGATTTTTACAGTTGTTTTACAGTACTGGTAGTCATATCTTTAATAGCGGTCAGATAAACACTCCTAACAAGAAAGGAAATAAAGGTTACCACAAGGAGTCATCTAATTCAGGCTTTTCATGCAGTCAACTCAACTCTGAATAAATAATATAAATACAGCAACCATGGGCATCATGAATAATTAGAACTTAATCATCACGATCATCTGGTGACATTAAAGGTCTGTTATACTGTTCAGTAGTGTAAAGTATGACAGGAGGCTTAGGTCATATTTTAAGCTCATCGTATAGATGAGTAAAGAGGGTTTAACAAGTATAAAGAGATAATAGAAATATACTAAATACTAAAGCATCCCCTATTTGCACAATAGTACAGTAAGATGCTTTTCACTGCTGCTGATATATTACCTCACAATATGATATGGTTAAAAATTGTCTGCCAAAAGTAAATATATAAAGTTAAGTTCATCTGTGTAACATCAACTAAGAATGAAAGTAATGTTAAGTCTTTTTAAAATATTAGAATATGTTTGTGTGAGCTTGTTTTCTGGTGTTGGACATTAAGGCGAGTTCACTTTAACATTAACTAACCAAAGCAGCATAAATGATATTATTATTATGAATTAGCTGGACTGTAGATTATGGGTCAGTGAATAAAAGTCCAACTTCGTTTATTGATCCAAAAACTCTGGATATAAAAAGGTCAAAGCCAAAGCTGCTTCCATTTGTAAGAGAAAAGAACCAGGAAGTACACGGTGGTCATGGATTCGTCTAGTTCTGCTGACCAAATCCCGTTTTTATCCTATATTCTTCTTATTTATTTTCCAAAATATGTACGCCGAATTCGCTATTAACACTTCTTCTATGAAAAGATGTATTCAATGTGCTGATAACTTTTACCGAATATCTCAAATACTTAAGAAAGGGTAAAAACCTGATAATTCCCGGGCAAGTTCAGGAGCTGCAAGGTGCGTTTTTTTTTCGGTTTTCTAATCGGCTTGACGCAGGCTCATTGGAGAAGGAAATCGGAAGTAATCACACCGTGGCAAAGTGGAACTAATGCTTAATCTAAGAACACTTGAACCGTGTTCATGTGTTAAATATTGACTGAGTTCTGACTGTTTGTATGAGCCTACCTTCTCCCTCTGACAGCCACAGCTGCTCTGTCCCCTCACACAGTGTCTCACCTGTGGTTCCTCCTGCTCCTCCGCTGGAACTCGAGCACACAGTTCGAAAATGTCTTGAAAACTTTCCACGTGTCCTTGGTGTCCTACCAGAGGACATCCAGGTTTTAACAGAGGACCTCACTGAGGGGCAGCACAGCCCCAGGCCCTGCAGGGGGACCCCGAAACAGACGGACAAAAAATGGCGTCCAACCTGAGCCTCAGTTTATATCAGGTGAGTAATGTCCTTCTTCTTCCTCAAAGTCAAACATGAGAGAATCTTCTGCTTCACTTTGGACTAGTTCTCTAGCAACCTTATTTAATTCATCCATAAAGAACAATGTAAAATAAACCCTTAAATGATTTTGTGAAACTGAACCAACCCCCCAGAGCAAAACCAATAGAATCCAACCATCAGGCCTGAAGAGCTGGATTCATCCACCGATGAATCAAATGGTGGTGGTAGTTGATAAATCTTTAAAGTCATTATTTTAAGCAATATTCCCAAAATTCTTTATTTATTTATTTGTATGGTCTTCCATTATAGTAAATCTCAAAATCTTTGGCTTTTTGTCTGCTGGACAAACAAAATAAGATATTACAATATGTTAATGTGGACTTCATGCTTATGGACATTTTCCCTATTTTCTGACATTTTGTACACTCAACAGTTGCTTTCCTCAAAGAAAATAATATTTGTTCTATTTACATGACAAACTGAAAATAAATAATTTGGTTAAATAATTTACAACCAACTGCTCAATATGAATTAAATCAATAAATATATTTATTATTTTAAATATATTATCAGACATACACAGTCTGTCAGACATTATAGATGATAATTTACTTCAGTGTCTCTTAAGAAATTCCAGATAATCAAATTATGTGGACCCAAAGAATTTCAGGGGCTTTTGGGCTTTCATGGGCTTTGTCTGGTTTGTCTGGTATGGAGTTATTTTATCCTGTAATTTCATTTGATACCAGCTTCTACCAGTTGTCATTATAAATCACTCTTCTAAGTCTGTTTTATTGCAAATTATAATTTACTCCAATGACCAGTTTGTTGTCCACTCATCTACACTACAGCAAGAGGCATCCATCTCTGCTTTTTCCAGGAAAATATTTAATTAATTCACTACCTAATGATTATGGAGTATTGTTTCAATGTCTCATGATATGTCATGAGAACATTTCCTGTATGTGTGTGATACAGGTCGTATTCTGTTGTTCATAAATAAATCAGTGAAGTGTGTCATGAAAAAACAATTACATGCAGGATCTCATTGAACAGGAGCAGAGCCGAGTGGCCCCATCACTAACATTTCTACTTCAACAATCTGAATACATCATTAACAGTCAATCTTAAAGCACTTGTGCATTGAGAACCTGGCATTCAGCCGCATCATCAGAAACCAGCTTTTCATCCCTTATTAGAGATTAGCTTCGCAGAGACCCCCTGTGACGTGTTGTCACAGTAAGCCATGTTGGGTTGGCTATCAAAGTGGGTGCCCCACCGAGCTTTAGCAGAGCTCCTCTTTATTGGCCTGGTAAAGCAGACCCCATGTGGCACGATCTTCAAAAAGTCAAGCAATCAGGGTGATTTGACGCTTCACAGCGGGCGAGAGTGTTGCTCATTTCTGAGACCAATTCTTCGACGATTCTCCACCATTTTGCAGAGTTTCAGCTTCAAATTGAATTTGCCAACTAGCAGACGAAAATATTAATAATGTAATAATCCGAGCCCCAAATTCTTAGTATATGCTATACACTGTGTGATATTGAGTGATAAAGGGAATAAGATATGACCCTTATCAGAGAGTTAAAGACACTTGCGTCTCTATAAATGCAGCGTCTGTTACACGTGTGGCTCATAGTTTAAGTGTAGATTGGAAAGTTTTTAGAAATTGTGTCAGCTAGGGCCGGACGATAAATATCAATAGTTATTGCAATATAATTTTTATCAATAGCAATAAGTGCAATATATATATATATTGATATCATGCACAAACATTTGTGAAATGTTTTACTTTTTATTAAGTGTTTGTCATTCTCCATAAAGAAGAGTTGAAAACCATAACATCACTCAGGAGCAAACAATAATTGTGTGATGTTTATCATGATAATAATCGATGTCCATCGATAATCAAACTGTGACCATGAAGACGGACTGAACATCACTAACATCACTGTCCAATGAGGAAAACAGTTTGAAACAACACATTTCTATTCACTCTCAATAGTCCAATTTTGGACCAGGTTTCTGAAGACAGATTGCACTGAAAAAAATGATTGATAAAGATTTCTAGGAGTGATAGCATTTAGCTATGACCATTTGTGCACTGTGGATTTACATGCCAGAAAGAGGGATTGGGGGAGATTTAAATAATTCATGCAAGTAGAAACCATTAAGAATATCCATGTGGACACTTTTTTTGATGTTAAAGATAGTGTATGATCTCTTGGTGCTTTCAAACTGTATCTGGCTTTACTTCTGGTGTCTGTTTTCCCCCTGAAGCGACAAAGATCAACTGACTCCTGTGTTAATTCTGCAGAAGTGTACAGAACAAAAGTCTCCGCTACAGAGTTGGCAGGCAAGCCCCCGTTCTTTCAGCATTTAACCGCTCCGCACGTAGCCCCAGTGAGGGCTCTCAAAAGCCAGAGAATGAATAAAATGAAAAAAATAGGAGAAAAAATGAAGCATGGAAAAGCTCCTAATGTCAAATGACTTTTGAGTCATCAGTTCAAAACTTTGATTTACATCCTACTTCTACCTCAGAAGTTTATCAGCTTGATAAAAGTATCACTTGAAAAAAAGCCCATATGAGAATTGACACTTTATACTTTCTTATTAATTCATATGAAATTAATGTTGTTTACAGATTTTCTGCAAACACATCAGTCCAATCTCCATCCATCTGATAGGTTCCCCCTCTTGAATTTCACAAAAATATTTGGAGGTGATGCAAACCCCAGCAACAAGCACTGGGTCAAAACAGGGTTGTGAGATCTCATGGAAACACAAATCATCAAAAATCTCTCTGAGAGCTCTGAGTAGCAGACAAAGAGCGTGTGCGCATGTGAGCATTTGAATGAAAGGTAATTCAACACAGCGCTTGTCACGGATCGCAAAGAAAAACAACGTCTAGCTGTTGCCTCCTACAGCATAGCAGCTGTCAGAGACTGTTTTTTGTGTTTTTGCCCAGTAGTCTTCATTTTTCAAGGCGGAGGGCTCGTCCAGGAGCCCCACCTCACTCATTCACCCCCCCACAGTGCGGGGGAGAACCAGGGTGCAGGAGGTTCAGCCTGTGAAGCAGGTGAGGTAGAGGTTCACCTGCAGGGCTTGACTGTTTTTCCCCAACCCAGTAAGTGTCATCGCTCCCAGGCAGGACTTTCAACCGGCCCAGGGCAAATCTGGAGTGGATGTTTTGGGTGTCTGCCTCCGAGTGTGAGCCTATAAGCAACAAATTAATGTAGTCAAGCATTGAGCATTGTGGTAAAACCTGGCCTCACTCACATATTCCTGGCAGTGCGATGAATCCAACAGGAATTAAAACACCACGGAACCCAGCCTTGTGACCTCATCGTGATTCCTTAAGAGGTTATTAGCCAAGGGCCACTGAGGAGGGCTCTGTGGAGCTTCCCACACAGGAGCCTGCAGTGACAGGCCCTGCACAGAAAAACTGCCAGGGAAGCACAATAAAGATAATTAGCGATGAGACCACTAGCCGCCCGTAGTCCCCCCACCCCCACCGAACCACCACCCACCCCCGCCAGCTCGGTATCCCCTGGATGTCTCACCCCCTTCCTCCTCAAACTGTGCTTAACTCATCCCCTCCATCTCCGCTCCTCCAGTCAACGCTGCTCCACCCGTTTCTGTGCACGATCTGTCAGACCAATAAGAATCTCATACATGCAGAGCGCTTATGTCTTCAGCTGGTGAAGCAATGAACAGGTTAGTCTTAGAGGAGTAGTTCACCATTTTGGAAAATACTTTTAGTCATCTTTTACGTTTTCTATAGAGCAAGAACCATTCATTATTCTCTTAAAAATGAATGAAAATGTTAAAAAAAATGCTGTATGTCATAATGTTTAAGGAGGTGAACATACTTCTGCCAAGTTTTGTACTAATTCATCCAGTAGGTTTTTGCGTAATTCAAAAAATATGCAAATAATGATAATGCCATTTCAACTTAAAAAGGATGGATGATATGTCCAATAGTATTCTCTGTCCCCAATTAGCTAAAAGAATGAGTTAATGTGAGTTTAATCTTGATATAAAACAGTTTGCAGGACGACATGGAACAGTGAACCTTCAGTCTCGGAAACAGATAAAATCAGAAGAAAAAAGAAAGCAAGGTAGTCTGATGTTTCGCAGCCCACAACACTCCACCATTATCCCAGCCCTTCAGCCATGTTACCTCTGTCTGAGAACAAGGTAGTGTAATTTAGAATGCATTTCAGGGCAATTAAAATTTCTCAGGCACAATTACTTATTCCCCCAGTGGAGCCGCCTCAATCAGTCTATGTGTGTAATGGGTTTACGGCCTTGACGCGGCAAACATGTCCTGCCTATCTGCCTCGTGCCTCTTCTCAAGGCTGTGGTTATTAATTGTGGCTAAAGTTGATAAATAAAATCACCAGTGCTCTTAATGCTAATTAGTGTTTGAGATAATATTTATGATTTCATAAGCACATATTTCTCCGAAGGCCCAGGCATTGTGCCCCCATCCATCGGTCATAGGCTGTCTTGGATGTAATCTATCTTTGGGGAGAGAAGAGGCCGAAAGAGGGGCCAGAGGAAACACAGGCAGTAAATACTAATAGTACTTAGTGGGTACTTTGGGAGCAGGAGTATTTCAGGCTATTTATTGAGCTGGGCTACTAAAGCAAAGATACAGGCTTTTATAGATATATGATAAATAAGACTGTCCTCCAAAATGGAAAACATCCAGTGCTGCGTGTGAGGTAAAAATGTTTACTGATTAAATATTACGAGCTTTTACAGGTGTACCTAATAAAGCGAATAGAGTGTATATCTTATGACTTATAACTTTTTAACTTGAGGGCAGCAGAAATAAGATGTTCCACTATGTTGACATTCTAGTGACTAATGTGACACTGATGAGAGCAGTCAGAGTGAAGCCAAATAGTAAATCTATGGACAATTAAACCAAAATAAATCAGTTCAATGACATTTAAACGGCGCAAAACAGTAGAAACAGCACACAGTTCCCTAAATGCTTCAGATTTTCTTCAACAAGATCCATGAATTATTCCCTGGGAAATCAACAAAAATGCCGGTCTTGCAAATCCTGGATATTTTTTTCCAGGTCCACATCCGTCTCAGCTTTTCACCAAGTTTTGTGGAACTCTGTAGTTTTTGTGTGATCCTGCTGACAATAGAAAAAACAAACTGGAGTGGTACTCAGTGGAGCACATTCCTCCGCCCAGGCCCAACAGTCCCCTTAAATTTAACCCAGCTGCCCCACATTGCACACGCTCATCAGTTAAATATACTAGATTTTTTTTTTTCATCAATGCCTCATTCATCCGAAAAATGTAGCTCCTTGCTGACAGAGGTAAGCATCTGTGTTTTTGTCATTGCATGATTACAATCATATGACCTGTTGTTATCATAAAAAGTTATTTTCATCTGTTTTGTTTCTATGTCTCCGTCACCTTCATCCCTTCACAGAAACCCTATTTATAGCTGGATCCATTGTGGCTCCTCAGTACTTTGTAGCCTGCTGAGATGTTCTTGACAGGAACCGCTTCCTCTCCCTCGCCCAGCGCACCGGCATTGAGAGGCACTTCAGCTACTTTTTCAACATCACAACATGTTGGTGCCAGTGGCTCACTGGTCTGACTATTGATCCAAGTCACCACATCAAGGTGAGCATCAGTGCTGCACAGTCCGTTGTGGACCCGCATCCTGAAAGAGTCGAGCTGTCCACAGCTCTAGGCGATGCCCGAAAGAGTGACAAGTGCTGAAACCACTTCAAGGGGGCTAACAGTGCCCTCAGCCCTTTCTAGTCCCCGCTTCAAAGCTGAGCGCAGCCTCTGGCAGTTCACCCCCTCCTCTATCTCCCTCCCTCTCTCCCTCTATCTACGGTCCTCTGGGGTAGCCGGTCCTATTCTCCTCTCCCAGGGCCGTCAATGTCAAAGCATGAGTGAGTCCAGTCAAAGCTAGTCCCCCTCCCTCCTCTCCTTCTACACACTCACACTTGTTTTTTTTCCTTCCTCCCTTTAAGTTTTCTCTTTCCCTCTGATGCACAGGTCCCATCCCCTCTGCATGACTGGCCCTCACTGACAAGTGGAAATCACAGAGATCCTACTGGCAAAAGATGGAAAGTGAAGAAGACTTCAGAAACGTGTACCCTACAGCTATCAGTGTCCTGAACTCCAGAATGAAGACACCAAGCGCATCTCCTCCACTATATACTATAAAAACTGGTGAGAACATGTTCACAAAAAATTTAGAGGGGGGGGGGACAAAAAGGTTTGCTGCATGGTGATTTTTTTTGACTTCCTAAGATAAATAAGTGATAGAAAAGAGGGAAGTGAGGGTGCTTTACTTTGCCAAAAGGGACCTTGGGTTTTGCCCTGTGGGCATGGCAGCTTTCATTTTCCTCTTTCCTCCGTTCATATTCCCAGCCGGTTTCCGGAGTTATGATTGAGTTTCACATATTGGAGTTATATCTGGCAGCCAGACTTGTTTATCTGCTGGGGCTGATAACTGTACTGGCCTGAGTGTGAAGCAGAAAGCGAGGGGAGGGAGACAGAGAGTGGGAGGGAGATACAGAGAGACACACCACTCATATATTCTCATCTCCTCCAGTCTTTTCTCATTGATTTAGCATGTCTTCATCAACAGTCTGACCCAGGTACGCCTTTTTTTTTTTCTTTATCTCACACTCCGGCTCAGACCTCTGGTGTGGAGTCAAAGGGAGTACCTGCCAAGCACGTGTCAGTCAAAGCAGCTGGAAAATGGTCTAAACGAGGCCAAGGACACAATTTAAAGGGACATTTGGACTCCAGAGTAAAATCTTGGAGATTAAATACCTATGTTAGTGTGTCTGTTAATTTTTAACAAGTGTCAGACATTAGTTTACTTGAAGATTGACTCATGTTTTTGCATGAGGACAGAAACGGCAGAGAAAGAAGTAATGATCGACAGAAGGTCAACACACATTTTGGCTCAGTTATAATCTCACTAAAACTATGATGCCACAACATCTTCAAGACACATCTGTCAAGGACTGTCTGAGTCCAGATGAAAGGCAGTGAGACAAAGAGACTTAGGGAGGGTCGAGAGAGGGGGAGACAGGAGAGAGGAGGACTGAGGTGGAGAGAGAGAAAGAGAGAGAGGGCGCAGTGCTTGCTGGACCCTGACTGTGTGCGAGGCCTCAATTATTCATGCGGCAGTGCACATGTCAAGAGCTCACAGACAAGCACAACAGCAAGGCCGAGCGCAAATCAAACAGCGCATCCATGGGCAATGCCCACAATGCACCTGGAGGAACACACCTCGGCCCATTTCTCTGTTGTTCTCGGATAAACAGAGAACAAGGCTACCTGAGCACTGCCTGATTCTCCTCAAGAGCCAAGAGCTGCTGAAATAGTCTTTGTTTGTTTGTTTTTCTCCCCCACACCCCACCCACTTTATTTACTCGCTTCTTTTTTTGGCAGCGATGTCGGCGCCCGTGGGTTCCATCTTTTCATGGCTCATTAGCCCATTGTTTCATTCACTTTATTTCTCGCAACCTGCTTTCATGCCCGTAATGTTGTTTAAGTCCGCCGCCGCTCTGCGCTGGTCCCCAACATGTCAACATTAACTACGGCTGAGGTTTGTCTCCTCGCGTGCTGGAGGTTAAAATATGGCTCCACACTTCCATTCTCATCTTGTCTTAGTTTATCGACCGCTGCCTGGCTGTCTGCTCCGTCTGTCCATGCACTCGCAGGCTTTCTCCCAACACTAATGCAGACTTTTTTCAATATTATTATTGTATTTGTCAAGGCTCCAAAAAAACATCCAGCACCAGGAATTGCAGCTAATCAGACAAGAAATACTTCATGCCTTATTGGCTCTACTTTAATTGTGCTGCAGTCACATATTCAATGATGCGTGTGCCATACTGTCTTAAAATAGCTTAATAACCAACAACTAAATTGACATTTTGTTTTCACATCATCATTTAGCCTGAAATTGTGCTCATTTAAGTCATGTTGTGTTTGGAGCAGTCTTATTTTACCATAACCAATGAGTAGAAACTCAGTATGTGTCCAGCCTGTTACCTTCACCAAAGAGGTTGTGTTTTCTTCTGTTTCTTTGTTGGATTATTTATAGTATTGCACAAAAAGTACTGAACCAATTTCCACTACAACATGCTGGAGGGATTTTGGTGCGGACATGGATTAAGGGACTGACTAAGGATTTTATTTCTTAACAATCTGTAACTGTGTTTTATGGCAAATAAATCATTTATCAGATTACTTCTTTTTTTTCTTTACCTCCTTTACTTTTATATTTTTACTAAGAACTCGATGGTCATGTGTAGGATTTTTTTTGTTTTCACAGCATTGGTGTGACCAACTGCTTGATGACGTAATTAGACTATTCTCTGTAACAATTGGACATTATGAATAAAATATTCTATTATCAACTCATGTAAACATCATTATCAGAATATTGCTGTCCATGTAAGTACCTTCATTGTTTTGGCTGCTTGGCTTGGCTCCATGAGTATTTTCCATCAATGTTGTTTTAATAATTACATATTAATTAAATGATATTGATTTAAAATATTGATTTAATATAGTATTCTGTATTTGTTGTTTGTAACTTTGTGTCTTTCCAGACACTCTTAAAATGTTTAATCTCAGTATGGTTTTGGAGGATCAATGAATATTACATTTAACAAAAGACTGGGCTGTGGGCAGCAATTCAGAGGTCTGGCACATTGCTCTTTAAAATACCCAACATAAAAAATAACATACATTCAAGATTTTGATAACCTGTAGATACCATGTGTACTTAAAATTAAAATGTTATACTTCCTTAAAAAGGCTCCACTCTTCTCGTGGCCTGTAAGTGGTCTCTGTATCCTCAAAGCCCTGATTCATAGCCACTCTCACCCAAGGGTCAACATTTTAGCGCCCTCTCTGATTGGCTCCCTGCCGTTGTTGACAGAGGGCACTGATGGGTCACCATCGGGTCTGCCCAGGTACAATGGATTCTGGGACAGCTGCCCACATCCTTGGGAGGACTGCGAAGCCACATCGCCAGCAGTTTTTTTTTAAGCTGCCACATGTGCCTGTATGTGTAGAGCTAAATAAATACTAGAATGGCATTCAGACAGCGAGTAGCTCCACCAAGACCCGACAGCACCCGAAGGAAACCACATTTTAATTCACTTAAAACCAGATTTTTATTTGGATTTGAACTCCCACCCCTCAAAACAATTTCATGGGAATCATTTAAATAGTTTTTGCATAAGAAAATAAACAAACAGATGAAATTTGTGGATATAATTTCACTCACATATTTTGTATTATATTATATAATTCATTTTACTTACTAAAGATATTTGCCACTTTCAAAATATAACATGTTGTGTTCATTGTTGTCTTTCATGCGAGTTGTGTTTGCAATGCACTCCCTTTAATGTGTTTGTCCTGCAGGTTTATGACAGCTCATCTGATGTCAACCAGCTCTCCAGACATTTCCCCACCACCACTTTCCTACAATACTTGAAATACATTACTGGCCCAGCCCCTGTGTGTTTGTATCCTGATCTGAATCTTCACCGGCCTGACAGACATGAGATGTGCATGGCCCAGGTTTAACAGTCCTTCTGCTGAGGAGTGAGGAGACTTTCTGGAGACATCATTTTACCGGTCAGTGAATCCCATTTCTTCCACAGTGGGGGAATTCTAACCTGCAGTAATGCAATAATCTAACATGTTTCCTCAGGAGCTGAACTGTTCAACATCAATTTAGAAGTATTTTCAAGGGAGGGCACACTGAGTTGTTTGGGCCGTTCTGATTTTACCGTGATCCCCCCCCTCCCCTCCTCGCTTGGTCATGCAATGTTAATATATTTTCGTGGGTGAAATGGCCTTTTGTTTTCAGGATCAAGCTGAAGAGGATGCAAAGGCTTGTGCAAACACACCGCCAGGGACGTTTTTTTTTTTTCTTCTTTGATATTACATTTCCAACAGCAAGACAAGCTTCACAGGAAATTACCAACAATAGCATGGTGTGTGTGTGTGTGTGTGTGCAGTAAACCCACAGAGGAGCACAGCAGCCACCGTGTTCCAGTGTGGATTGATGTGTTTGTTTAGTGATACATTCAAACATATTGGGCTTCACTGAGGAATTTATTGGAGTGTATGAGCTGAGGGCCTCCCTGTTGTTGCAGTCTGGTGTTTTACAGTCACCCCTGTTCACTGTCCAAGAGAACAAGCTTTCCTGACTCTGTAGGTGAGTGTCTCTATGTACACAAATACAGATATTCACTGTTTATTATCGTCCCAGACGTTTGCACTCAGTGGAGTGCGGCAGACCACTGCCAAGGCCCAACAGTCCCCTTATGAAAGCACATTTAAATCTGCTAGGTCTGGATTTTTATTTGGATCTGCACCAAACTGCACACGCTCAAATATCAATCCTCTAAATATGCCAGACTTTTTTCATTGAGATCCATAAATTATTCTCTGAGAAATTGGGAAAAATTTCAAGTTATGCCGCATCTCGCAAGGTTTGAGAAAGGGATATAAAAAAATCCCTGATCCGTCTGTTTGTCTGGATCTACGGAAAATTTAATAGATTCTTTCTTGGCCCATGTCTTATCCGTGCAGTAGGTTTTGTGGAAATCTGTTGTGTAGGTTTTTGCATAATCCTGCTGACAAACAAACAAACCAATCAACCTTCTTAACGGCACAATAGTCTGCAACAGTCCCCTTAAAGTAAATTATGCTGCACCCAATATCAGGCAACTTTCCTATATGCCTGATCTTTTAAAGTCAAGATTCATGAATTATTCAGTGGGGAAATTGGACAAAATGTTCAAAAGATAACTTATCTTGCAATGTAAAAGAAAGTGATGAAAATATCCGACGTCATTCTCATGGTCTTGGTAGCTCCATCAGTCAGAGACATCGCTACTACACCTTAGGATTGTGGGTAATGCCGTACTTGATATCCCGATTGAAACACGTTTTTCTTCAAACTCAGTTGATATTCAAACTTGTGGCTTCTACAGGAGTACAAAAAATAGTTTCATATTCTTTTAGCTTGTGATTAAAATCTGCATCGGCCGGGGATGGTTACAATATTACGGCTGATAATCAAAATCTCTATTCAGAAAATGAATGTGATTTGAGTTAGGGGGTTGAGTTCTATTCAATTTCCCATCCTTCCACCACGTTTTGTGGAAATCTGTTGACAAACCAACTGTATGACATTCT